CTAATGGCCAGAGCGCCGGTCCAAAACAAAAGACAGACCTGGGTGGAAATCCTTTCTTTGCCCAAGCCCGGGGTTTTCCATCAAAATAAATACTGTAACAGTATTTATGTCATGGGGTTGTTGGGAAAGTTTTTAAATGGGAACATGAAAATGTATTCCACAAGTATTACTGAGTGTCTCCAGCATGCCAGGCAGCATTCAAAGCGCAGAGGACGCCTTCCTTAAGGGATCCCTTAAGAAGACATGGTCTCTTACGCATAAGAAGCTTACATTTTACTGGGGACAGGAAGGGGGCAGTTAAGCAGTGGGCAATGCACAAGCAAATAAACAAAATCACTTCAGGCAGTACAGAGTTCTATGCCAAAGATAGAGCAGAGTGATGTGATAGAGTAAATGGATGTCAGAGCATTACCTGGACCAGGTGGTCAGAGTGGGGCTGACACCTGTAGGTCCTGAGAGCTATCTCAGTGCAGGAAGAGCTAGAGCACATGGTTGCCTTCCCTGACCGATCCCTACCATTTTGGAAGGACCGTAGCACCTCTTTACTGCCCACAATCTATTCATTTTATAGATGGGAAAATGCAGGCTCAGAAATGACAAGTACACACGGCACCGAGGCCCCACTGTGCGTCCTCTCCTCTCCGCGCCCTGGTTCCGCCTTCTTGGGCATTAAGTTTGGAGTTCAGTTAGAATGACCTACTTACCTGCTTATTCCTATCACTGCTTGGCAAATCTTTTAGACAAATTTCTATTCATTAGATGTTGATTATGTCTAATCTTTTTATTTCATTTCCTTGCAGTGGAAATGCAGACGTCTAGGAGAGGGTTCAGGTATGTTTGTATCCCCACTCCCAACACTTTGTTTCTTCATTTGAAATTTGCTTAATAGTGGAGAGTAAACTTCTGATATGCTCTTTTCCTTTGCCTAAGGCTTCCAGTTTTTTCAAGACCTTCACATTTTTTAAGAACGTAGGTAGTGCAAGACCTGGAAACAACCTAAGTCCATCAGTGGATGAATGGATAAAGAAAAAGTGCACATATTACATACATATACATGTTATATAATATGTATATAACAAGTACACACACACACAATGGAATATCATTACGCCATTAGAAAGAAGGAAATCCTGCCATTAGCAACAACACAGATGGATCTTGAGAGTATTTTGCTAGATGAAATAAGTCAGAGACAGAAAAACAAATACCGTGTGATCTCACTTATATGTGGAATCTAACAAACTTGAACCCACAGATAGAGAGAAGAGATGGGTGGTTGTCAGAGGCAGAGGCAGGGGGCTAGGGGTAGGAGAAATGGGTGAAGGGGGTCAAAAGGGACAAACTTCTGGTTATAAGATGAATAAGTTCTGGGTATGTAATGCACAGCATGGTAACTAGAGTTAACAATACTGTGTTGTATATTTGTAAGTTGTGAGGAGAGATCTTACAAGTTCTCATCACAAGAAAAAACATTTATAACTGTGAGAAGATGGGTGTTGAGTCAACTTACTGTTGTAATCATTTTACAATATATGCATGTGTCAAATCATTACACTGTACACAATATATGCATGTGTCAAATCATTACACTGTACACCTAAAATGAATACAATATTATATATCAATTGTATCTCAATAAGACTAGGGAAAATATATCAAAAAAGAAAACAAGAACATAGACTCTGGAGGAGAGGCAAAGGGATTCAAAGAACTAGCTCTGCTACCTCCTACCATGTGACTCTGGGTGAATTACTTTACTTCACTGAATCTTAGTTTCCTCATCTGTAAAATGGGGATAACAACGCCCACCTATAATTAAATAATATTTTTTTTAAAAAAAGATTTCATTTATCTCTTTGAGAGAGAGAGAAAGAGCTTGAGTGGGGGAAGGGGCAAAGGGGGAAGGATAGGGACAAGCAGTCTCCACGGTGAGCACAGATCCTGCCATGGGGCTCGATCCCAGGACCCTGAGATGAGGACCTGAGCCGAAACCAAGAATTGGACGTTTAACCGACTGAGCCATCCAGGTGCCCCTTGAATCATAATACTTAACATGCTTGACACAAACTAACCGCTCAAGACCAACACACACACATACATCCGTATGAAGTAGACACTGCTATTCTCCCATTTGACGGATGAGGAAAGGAAAACACCGAGGGATTTTTGTAACCTGCTCAGGGTCACCAGGTGGCACGTGAAAGAGCTGAGATTATGTCAGGATGAAATGTGCTTATGATAGCATGTGACGGATAGCAAACATTCAATAAAGTGTAGCTATTTATATAATCAGTTTAAAGCATTTATGCCCTGCTCTGTCTGCAGTGTGTTCTGTAAATGTCAAGGGGTGATGTGTCTTTCTGGAAAAATGAGTAATGCTCCATGGCTTCAAAGGTTTCCACTCTTTAGCCCATTTCCCAATAGCTGAATTGTCATTTTATCATCATAGCCTAGGAGCCAAACTGAGAATATGAATTCACATCTTGGCATTGTTTATATTCTCTCTCTGAAAGCCTGGGCCTTTGGAAACACAATCATATTTATTTTAATAAAACTGCTTTATGACTTGTTTGCCCTCTAAATTCCCTTTGCTCTTTGGGGAAGGCTGCTGATAGGCAATGGGGCTTTGTTTTAGTCCCTGTGCTGGGATCGTAATTAACTGCCACGGAGAGAGAGATGGGGGTTAGTCAGCAGAGAGAAGGTTAAGGACAGTGCTTTTATGCACGAGACTGACTTTCAGGCTCTTGTCCAAGGAAGGGGAGATTATGCTTGACCTGCCAACTTAGAGACCAGGCCCTGGATAAACAGGCAGCCCGGTCCAGGCTCAAGAGTTACTTACCCCTTTTAAAAGGCTTGAATGTGTGGAAAATTGGCAGTGGTAGGGTCTGCAGGACCTCTGCCCTTCTGAAACCTCATGAGTCTGCTCTCTGTAAATCACTGTCAGTTTATAGTTACTAGTCTCTAGACCGACAGGCTTCTCCCTATGAATGTAGTTTGTCATCCTGTCCTTACTACAATTAAAGGAGTCTGCCTCCCTTGAAATGTGACGTTGCCCCAGGGAAAGTTAAAACCAATGAAATGTTCTTAGACCGTCAGACCTGGAAGGAATCTTAAGAGTGCTGTGTTTGCCAACACAGAACTACGTCCTTGGGGACTGCCTGGACCGTCTGCTAGAATTCCAAGTCCTGGTCCTCACTATGCCTGCTTTATCAAAATCCTCAGACGGTGGGCCCAAAGGTCTCAATTTTAATAAGTTCCCCCAGGTTATTCTAATGCACAGTGAGGCTTGAGAGCTACAGATATGGAGAAACAGATTCAGTCATCTGAATTACAGATCAAGATACTGAGACACTTCAATTTGTCCCTGAGGAGGGATAAACACAATGCCCTGGTCTTCTGACTCTCAAAGAAATGTTTTTGTTTTGTTTTGTTCTGTTTGTTTGCTTTTATAATATCATATTCCTTTTAGCTTCACGGAAAAAGACTTCCTCCACAAATTTTACACTGGGGTCTGGTTATCCAAGGTTTATAAGGCTTAGCTGAGACAGGAGGCAAGGGACACTGGGCGATCCAAGCTTTATTATTGCTGAAACCAGGAGAAATAGAATTTTGGGAAAATAAATGATTAAAATTTAATAGTAATGTCAAGGAAGAAGAGATAGATAAAAAAAGAATAAGGATATTGGTTTTTGATTGATAGCTTCATCAGGAACATTTATTTTTGTTACTATACAAAGAGTTATCTAAACAGGGCAACTTCGTGCTGACACGGCTGTCTCTGGTTTGCAGGGAGCAAAAATGTCTTATGTGTGTCGGGTATTTGAAAATGCTTTCCTATCCATGACCCTATTTGATCCACATCACTCTGGAGAGATAAGTTTAGCATATCCAACTATGAGATGAGATTCAGAGAAGTAAAGAGACTGCCCTAAGTCTAGTTAGTAACGACTAACATGCATATTAGGAAGCATATTAGGAAGACTATTACTATGACTGTTTAGGAGTGTACCATGTGCCAGGAATCTCTCTGAGCATTTGATAGGAATTTTCTCATTTAATCATCACGACTGCTTTATATACTTGTCTAATTTGACCCTCATCACCGCTCAATGAGATAGTAACATGCTACTGATGAAGAAGCTAAGGTATAAGGAAATGAATCACCTTTCATTCGTTCCTCTACTCGTTCAATAAACCCATGCTAAGCTTCTCAGTTCTAGACATTTATTTAAGCTCTAGGGATACTCTGCTTTCATGGAGATGACACTGGATGGTAGAAATAAGCACTAAACAAGGAAATGGATAAATACATAAATCGCTATGAAATGAATCAAAATAGACTGTGGGAGTAACTGGACATGGCAGGTGTTGTATCTTGGACACTGTGGCAGATGAAAGGTATTGGAGCTGACACCTGAAACAGGTATACAGCTGCCTGGGGGAAGAGGGGCAAAGGCCCTAAATGTGATCAGCCTATCTCTTGATCCAGCAAAGAGGATGGAACGGAGTCATGGGGTGGAGGAGGGGGAAGCAGTGGGAGAGGAGTCAAAGACAGGAGGAAGAAACATCCTGTAGTGGTAGGGAAAATCCTTTGGCTTTGAGAAAGGTAGGAAGCCACGGAAGGGTTTGAGCAGGGCAGTGACCTGATGTGATGTACTTTAGAAAGCTTGCTCTGTACCAAAGCAGGGAGATCCCATAGAGGGCAGAGTGGAACTTGCCCAGGGTCATACAAGTGATGGGATGGTAGTGGGGGTGCAGGTCATCTCAATGTTTAGCTCTGGCTTCCTGAGGAGGCAGGCATCAGTCTCACCAGCATGTTATCCTCACCTTCCGCGAATCCTGCGCTCGAGTCCCTCCTGCGACACACAAGAGACTCTCCATAAGGACAGGGGTGGTTGCTCTCCACGGCAACTGGCAGAGAGGAGCCACCGGGGTGGGCCAGCAGGCAGAGCTGGGCCAGAGCCGTTCTCAAGGCTGTGGCCCCAGGTGGCCTCACTCACCTTGGACTTCTCTTGATGCAGCTCTATCTGGATGTCTGTGAGCTTGGTCCTGAGGTCTTCATTGGCAGCTTGAAGGGCGACGATGAGTGCTTCGGGCTTCTCGCCCTTATTTCGCCCTTTCTTGGACATTGTTCCTTTCTGAAGGGAGTCTTGTTTTTGAATGCCTCTCAAACAGGTGCTGCCATGTTACTGCTTCTTATCGTGGGTGCAATGTCTCAGTATCTACTGCGTGGTGCTCCTTGGTAAGGTCTCCTCAGCCGCTGCCCTGGAAGCCCTGGGGAGAGGCAGAGACGGCGATTACGGCTGTGGCAGGGACCTGGGCCAAGGGCCAGGCAGGGTCTCTCAGCCTGAGCTACCTGTATGAGCCTGCTCCCGAGGGCTCCTGCCCCCAGATCCTCCCATCCACTTGGCACATGAATTTAGAGCCATCTTTCGAAAGACGTGGTCTGGTCCTCCAATGCCCTGCTCAAAATCCTCCAAAGACTTATGAGTATTTGAGTATATTTTTCACATCTCAGAGTGCTTTTTATGTCTAAAACTGCCCATTCCCCTATCTTATCTCCTCCATTTCACTCACTAACTCTCCAGCCCTAAGAAATCCCCTTTATGGGATGCCTGGGGTGGCTCAGTCAGTTAAGCGTGTGACTCTTGATTTCCACTCAGGTTATGATCTCAGAGTTGTGAGATTTAGCCCCGCCTCTGCATTGGGCTCCACGCCGGGCACGGAGCCTGCTTAAGATTCTATTTCTCCCTCTCCCTCTGCTCCCCTCCCCCCCTTTAGCTCTCTCTAAAAACAACAACAAAAAAAATGCTTTTTATTATTTTTTAAGCAGGCTCCATGCCCAGTGTGGGGCTTGAACTCACAACCCTGAGATCAAGACCAGAGCTGAGATCAAGAGTCAGTGGCTTAACTGATTGAGCCACCCAGGCACTCCAGAAATGCCCTTTAATTTTCTGATTCTTGCTCTCTTCCCATAAAGACTTTCCCTACATTGTTCATTTCTCTCCATGCTCTGCCCAGCCTCCTCACAAGTCCTCCTTGTGTTCTCATCCTCACAGCCTCACACACATACAGCTTAGTTTGGCTAAATTTTATGACTCCTTCAGGTCTCAGCTTCCATATCAGTTCTTCCTGGAAGCACCTCTAGATTATTACATGCCCTCATTATTTAATGGTGGTCACACCTCCATGAATCTGTAAACTTTGTGAGGGCAGGAATGCATTAATCCTATTCACAATTTGCTTCTCAGAATCCATCATAAGACCTGCGACGTACCAGGTAGTCAATTGGTAATTTGTGAAAGGAAGTCAACTATGTGATGACTTCATGTAGCCCCAAAGAGAGCCCCCAGTTTAAGAAAATTCTATATAAAAAGACCTAGAATCATACAATGGATAAACTAATAGGAGGGGAATTAATTATACTGGGTTAATTGGGTGACTCATTTATTCATTCAGTCAATATTGTTAGAGTTCCTTCTTTATGCTATGGTAGGTACACCATGTTGAAATTGAAAATAAGAGTCCCAAGACAAACAATAAAACTTTTATATCTATCTATCTATCTATCTATCTATCTATCATCTATCTTCATCATTATCATAATCATCACCGTCACCTATCTGATAACTGCCTTTAAAAAAATAAACACTAGTTGTTTCAGAAGTATAGACAAGGACTCCTCCCTCCAATGAGGTGACTAAGGAATCTCCTTGAAGAAGGCGGCATTGCCTGGAACTTAAGGAGTAGGATGTTAACAGATGTAGAAACAGATGAGGCATCCTAAGTGAATGAAATGGCAGGTGCTGAGATACAGAAAAAAAAAAAAAAAATCACAGCAAGTATCTTGTGGGGAAAAGGAGGGCCTGATCAATTAACCCAGAGTATGGCTGATGGGCAGTAATGCTAGAGAGGTTGCCTGGAAATGATAGATTGTGGAGGACCTGGAATGCCAACCTTAAGATTTTGGAATCCTTTTTTTTTTTTTTTTCAGTAAGCAATGGGGAAGCTGCTGAAGTTCTTGGCAGGTGGATACCCTAACAGGAAATGCTTTGGTGTTATTCTGGTGGCAGAGTGGGGAGAAACTGGGAGTGGGGAGACTGGATAGAAGGCTACTGAACTTGCCAAGGTGAAAGATGATGCAGCCCTAAACAGAACAGCATCAACAAGAGAGTGAAAAACAGGGATGGGTGTCTTGATTTACAAATTCTTAAATGCGTCACAGGAATGAGGAGATCAGAAAAATATGGATACCAAATTGTGAAAGTCAATGGGAAAAACATGACAAGATACTAGAGAAAGTTTCTCACACAACATTTCAGAAAATTGGGTATTGTGTACATGGAGGTGCTTCGGTCCAAAACTAAGGGGAATTCCTACTGGTCACCCATATGTTCCAGCAGCTGCTGTTCTCTCAAGCCCCCTGGTATTCAGCCTGGTGGACCATGCTGGGATCTGGGCTTTCTGCCATCCCCACATGAGCACTGGGGCCATGCCCTTTGCAGTGTGACCCTAGGGAAAGGGATAGGAAGAGGTTAGGAGGTAGCAAGGACCAGTCTGTCTCTAGAAGTCATGGAACTGTCCACCATATTCTACCCTAAGCTGGATGTTGGAGTCCTTCTTCACGCTTATTTTGCAAATGTTGCCAAATCATTGAAGTGTATAGCTGGGAGATGTTAAAGGGGCTACCATTCTTTGCTTTTAGAATTGAAATGAATTAACAAGCATTTATTGGATTTTTATGACGAATACCACTGGGCACAAAGATAAATAAGACAGTGTTTAATTTCAAGCAGGTGCTAGGGGAGTGAACTCACATGTTTTTGTTTAACAGGTTTCTCTTCCTCTAGCTGAGCTCTAAACATTGCTGGTCCCCTGGGTTCCCCAAAGTTATCTCCAATGACCCCATCAATAAGGTTATGACTCCCCATTTTATATCCATAGCCCTGACCACTCCCCAAACCCCGACTCACATATTCAACATCTTACTTACCAAATCTACCTGGATATCTGACTGGTGGATCAAACCTAACCTAACTAACATGGATGTCTTTATTACTAGCCCCTCATAGCTTCATTCTCTCTGGGTTTTCCCATATCAATAAATGCACCACCATGGGCCCAGTTGTTCCAGATCTAAGCTTAGAAGCCCTCCTTTCTTCTTGTATCCATCATTCCTCTTCTCTAGTCCACCAGGGGTCCTGTTTGTTTTTCCTATAAAATATAATTCCCTTTGGTCAACTTCTCTCAGCCCCCTTCAGTGCTCTCAGAACATGGAGAAAGGAGGAATTTGAGAAAAACTTCAGTCACTTCATAGCCTTATGGTCTTCCTTTCTGACTAGAGATACAGGAATGACAGAGAAAGAGCTTGAGAAGCACTGGGAGTCACAAATTTGCTGGACGCATTTAGAGAAGGTTGTGAACAGGGAGAAGACAAACTGGGTTGGATTGTACAGGTTCCTGCATGACTGATGGTTAGATTTCATTGATAATGATTCCATTTCATTATGTAGAAACAAAGCATTTGAATATAAGTGTAATAATAAGAGCTTAGAGTGACTGACTGCTTTGAGCTAGACATTGGACTAAGCACTTGACATACTGCTCTCATTTCGTCCTCCCTAAAAATAGGGGGAAACGATTTACAGAAAGATGAATTAACTTATCTAAAATGACTGAGTCATAGGCAGTGAGGCCTTCATGCAAGACTGGGACCCAGGCTGTGATGCCCTGGGTTGCACTGCCTCATGTTTGCATTTTAGAGAGGTAGCTCAGGCAGTATGATGGACAGTGAGTTCCCAGGGTAGGTCACACAGGAAGCAGGAAATCAGGCTGCTTCACTGGTCCAGGTGAGTGGAAGACAGCCCTGAATTTACCCATGGCCATGGGGATGAAAAAGGACGTAGTAACTCTGACACATGGAGACTTTGATGGAATCATGTCTTCCTTTTAAACATTATTACTGGCTTGAACATTCTTCTCTGCCATGGTAAATAATGAGTGCCAGCTTTCTGGTAATGCTTGCAGCAGAAATGTGCACTGCCATAGTCATATTTTACATTTTAATCTATAATCCTTTCCCAAAAAATATAATACTATGTGCCTGACTTCATGCACTTTTTTATGTCCGGGAATTATTTTTAGCTTAGTCCCATAAGAGCTAGGGAAAAGAAGAGGGTTAAAAAACTAGAAACAGAGGCGCCTGGGTGGCTCAGTCATTGAGCATCTGCCTTCAGATCAGGTCACGATCCCAGGGTCCTGGGATCAAGCCCCATATCGGGCTCCCTGCTCATCAGGGAGCCTGCTTCTCCCTCTCCCACTCCCCCTGCTTGTGTTCCTTCTCTCTCTCTGTCTCTGTCAAATAAATAAATAAATAAATAAATAAATAAATAAATAAATAAATAAATAAAATCTTAAAAAAACCAACTAGAAACATGTCCAAGACAGAAAAAAGCATCACAGAAAGTTACTGATAGAGTCAGCTTATGGATACGGTAACGTGAGCATCAGTTCATAAGGATGATCCCGTACATCTTCCTGGTGAAGGGGAACTTTGTGAAGCCTTTTCCGGTTGTGATGGGTATCTGGCAATCTCATGATTATCGTGTATAATTTTACTACAGTGCTTCTGTCACCCTGTGCTGCCTACCCCCTCACCCCGCTTTTTGGATAGCTTTACTGAGATATAATTCACATATAAAATTTACCCTTTAAAAGTGTATTAATTCAGCGGTGCTAGCATATTCTCAATATTGAGCAATCATCACCACAATGAATTTCAGAACTTTTTATCACCCCAAAAAGAAACCCTATACCTGTTAGTAGTCATTCCCTATTCCTCACCAAACTCTCTCAGCCCTAGGCAATCACTAATCTATGGATTTGCTTATCCTGAACATTTTCTATCAAATGGAATCATACAATATATAACTGGCTTCTTCCACTATACCATAACATTGTCAAGGTTCATTCATATTATAGCATATACAGATATTTCATTTCTTTTCACTGCTGCATAATATTCCACTGTATGGCTAAAACTGCATTTCATTTATCCAGCCATCAGCTGAAGGACAAGTGTGCTGCCTCTGCTTAAGTAGCCTGAGGCGAGCCTTTCAAAGAAGCTGACAGCCAGACCAAAGACTTCTACACAGGCAAAAGGTCTCACTGTGCATTGGTGAACCTGACACAGCAAAAAAAAAAAAAAAAAAAGCCTTTTTTTGAGAGACAGAGAAGCACAAAGGAGGGCATGAAGATATAACTGCAAGCAGGGG